TACTCAAAGGGCCAGGTGTAAATATTCCTAAAAAAGGCTATCTAATGGATTGATTTTGAAGTAGCTACTTTTTTCAACCAGGTCCGTCGAATAAAACCTAGAAGGGCAGTGCGGACTGGCGGGTGTCATTCGAAGATTTTAAAAATTGATTTTTCTTGAAATAAAAGTAAAGATATTGAGTATCAAACCATCACGAATTATGTCAGAAAGTCCTTGTCGTAAAAAGAACAAGAACAAGAACAAGACAATTGGCTTATGGCGTCTATAAGAAAAGAACATATACAGTCCCATATCTCAATGCTGCTACTGAGCGGCATGGTTTAGAGGTTTAGACCATTGCTTAGAATTAGGGAGGATGCCGGTTCGATTCCAGGTCCATTTGCCTCAAAGTTTTTCTGTGGTTTCCTTAGATCACTTAGGCAAATGCTGGGACAGTTATATTCTACAGATAATCTTTCATTCTCTTCTGTCTTCTTTTCGTCCGTCTCATCTTTCTCACCCGAACCACCACCCACCCATTCCCAGCATTACTGACTGGTGGGAATGAAACACCCAAAAGTTTGTTTTTTAATGTTGCTTTCAACTGCCATCCAGCTCAGAAAAGGACACTCATCAAAACACTACAAAACAAGGCATAATTGATTGCGAACAAGGAACATCTACAACCAGGATTAGATTACCTACGGAAGGCTCTACAAGCAAATGACTACAGCCATATCGAAATACAGAAGGTAAATACATCCTAAACACCATCACGTTGCGGATTGGATAGCAAAGACGCTCTGAAGAAAGGGAATCAAAACAATATTTCTACCTACGCCCAAGATTAAAGATGAACTACGACCAATTAAAGAACTTCTTGATCCTTTATCAACACCAGGGATTTATTATATACCTTGTGAATGCGGCAAGAACTACATAAGGATGACACAGTGCAGATACTTACGAGGAAGCAAGAACACGAACGAGTAATTAGATTACTCCAACCTGGAAAATGTCCAGTAGCTCACCTTGCGCTTCAGAAAGGTCACACAATCCACTTTCAGGACATCTACTCACCGCGAAAGCTTTTATCAATTTGACAACAGCAGAGATGATGGGATACACATAAGTAAAATTTGGAAACATGTAATGAAAAACAAACAGAAGACAACATGAGCCCAATGATGCAGACAGGTAATCGTATTTTCTGTGACGACTCCAATCTAAAAAGCGTAACACGGTCCCAAACCGCATCGGTCACTGCAACATACTGAAGATGCCGTCAGCGAAGAACGGTGAAACGCCTGGAACATCAAAACTCAACGAACCACTAAAAAACTACAGCCTTTGACACGTTTTATTAATCTATGAATGATCTTTTTCGATTGATTCATTTTTTCTTACTGGACAAAAGTGTTTGGGGTGTTTGTTCACTCCTGTTTGCTGCTTACAGTTGTAATTTGTCAGCGAGTGAATTTCCATTTCGTTAAAAAAAAAACTCATTACCATCTTCAGTGATTCTTTGTATAAACTCTCAGAAGTAATTAGCGAAGTCATACAAGCGTTTTCGTGCCAAACACTGACTGCTCCTAAGGCCTCTTTGAATTGAAAGGCGTTTTAATGAATAAACAAATATAAAAAACAAATGGATCGAGGAGCTTTTGAACTGAAATACAAAACAATTTCTGTACGGATCAACAAACTGTTTTATAAAAGAAAAACGCCATTAAAATGGAAATAGAACTGCAGCATTATCAGGTGATGATGATAATTTGACAAAATATGCCCAAATAAAACTTTTATTTACAATAGATAAGTATTCAGTAATGGGGAATTGTTCATATCTAATATATCATCCTAGATAATTCCCAGTAGCAATTACATCTATTGATTTCTAAAATTTTCTAGTAGTTTGCCCTGCAGTTACGTCTCTTTAACTATGAAGGGGACCAAATAAACGGATTTGAAATGACCTAAGGAAGAGAGGTTTTATTTTCTCAGAGTGAATCCAATACTACCCAGCCGTCTCGCTTCTTTCTTCTTTACATAAATCTTAGTGCGATTGATACAGAATTTGATAAGTACGTCCCTGAATTGAGGTACATAGTAAATAATAGGACTTACGCGTATACAGAATACTTGATGAATATTATTTACAATGTCAATAGGGCAATTATTATCAGTGCCTTATTTCGAGCAAGTTCAATAAATCCAGTTCATCGTGAAAAATAAGAGATTAGAAAGGCAACATGCCAAAACACTGTCATTCCGCATAATAACTCATCTTGAATTGTGCAGAATGTTCATAAAAACGTAAATATAAAAAGCGCTATAATCCTTTTAATAAAGACAAGAAGCACGTAGTCATAACTTTGTTATTACAGTTGCCATAAATTTTTTGAATTGGATTTAAGACAAAATTATGGCGGAATACCAGACTCTAGGATGTAGTAACGCAAAATACTCGGCGAGAAAGGGGCAATAAAAAAGGTAATAATACTTTAAAATTACGTTTAGCCATTGGCTCGTTTTGGTTTTACAACGTCGCAGGCGGAATTGTTTTATTGTAGGTAGGAACAACTGCAAAAGGTGCTCCTAAGAACATTATTTTTCCTTTATTTCATTTTATAGTTCATAATTAGGACGAGTTAGCGCTTTATAGCTATATATTAACTATTGTATGATTGTCTTAAGATTGCGTGTGTCTCATCAACATCGTAGTCTGTACGAAGTAATCTGATCTATACTGGCTGAAGTTAGCAGCAGTAGATATTGAACTCGTTTGTCAAAATATAGGAAATTTACTAATTTATTTACTAATTAATCACATAACTGGGAATGTAAATGTGACAATCGTGTTTCGCTTAGGTTAGCGTATTTCGTCTTGATCTTGATCTTGGGATTGATCTTGGTCTTGGTATTTATCTTGATCTTGGTCTTGGTCTTGGCTTTGGTCTTGGTCTTGGTCTTGATCTTGAACTTGGTCTTCGTCTTGCTAGTATAAAGACAGTCTTGGTACGTTTTCGCAAGACTAAGAAGAAATTAATAGTTTAATTCATCATCATCATCATAAGGTCATCAGTCCTAAGACTGGTTGGACACGTACCTCCACTCTTTCCTATCCTGACTATTTGCGAACAGTAATCTAATCTAGGTCTACCTCCACCCCTCCTAACTCCTGTTTCTACCTCTAATATGTCTCTGACTAGACCTTCATGCCTGAGAAGGTGTCCTACCAACCTATCTCGCCTATTTTTTATTGACTTCCATAGAGTCCTCTGTTCTCCTATTCTTTCNCAGCAGAGGACTGTATTAAGGGAAATTATTAAATTAATATTTAGACATTCGGTAGCACTAAAAAACTTAAAGAATAATAAGGCTCCAGGTATAGATTGGATATAGGCGGAAATTTGGGTTCAGAAGAAATAGAGGAACGCGGGAGACCGTTATAGCTTTACGGGTAACAATAGAGAAAACGATAGAAAAAGGAACGAGTGCGTACATAGGATTTGTTCATTTAGAAAAGGCTTTTAATAATGCTAAATGGAACAAAATGTTACATATACAACTTAAAAATGTAGGGATGAGTTACAGAGATAAAGGAGTGATATTTAGTTTGTATAAAGAGCAACAGACAGTTATAGAGGTGAAGCTGCAACGTAGGGAAGTAAATATTAGAAAGGGAGTCAGACAGGGATGCGCACTGTCACCGCCATTTTTGTATCTCTACATCGAAGACGCGATCAACATCATTAAAGACAGTACAACTGTAGGGATAGATGTGCAAGGGCAAAAGATTAGTATGCTTAGATTTGCAGATGATATAGTAGTATTAGCATCTAGCAAGGAGGAGTTAGAGACAGCTTTAGTTAAGGATGTGGGTTGTTCTAGTTTTGGGGAAATGCGAAGATAGGATAGATTAGAATAGGAAAGAGTAGAGGTGTGTGTCCAATCAATTTTGAGACTGACGACCTTATGATGATCTATCTTTGTAATTCATCCCTACATTTTTAAGTATATTTAACATCTTGTCCCAAATTAATAAAATAAAATAATTAATAAATAATTAATTTTATGATACCTAACAAGAATTTATCATTTTCCAGTTATTACGTGTTACCCGTAAGGCACATTTGATGTGATAAACATGTTATGACAGGAAAACTTGCCTCCCCCTTAAAAAGCACCATTGGAACCATTTATTAATCAAAGTCAAAATCACAGTGCCATCATACAAAAGAACTGAACCCTACCTAACCTAACCAAACATTTTTCTATTGTATAGCATTAGGTTAAATGAAAAATAAACCTATCCTCGGTCAGATTTAGCTTCTTTTGTATTATAACACTAATTTTGACTATCTATCATATTTTATTTATTTATTCCTAATTAATTACAAAACAGGAAGATAGTTGGAAGAAAATTACGTAATTAGATATGTAACACGTAATTATATAGCAGTTTTTCTAAATTTTGTTAAATGTACCTATAAGAATATCTTGAATCAGTTTCTGTTATTAAAATAGACTGAAATTTTCATGCAAGTGAAGTTTTTATCTAAACACAATGAAATATACATATATTAATTTTTCTATTAGAATAATTTGTTAAAAGGTTTCTAATGTAGGTTGTACGAAACAAAATTAAAGAAATGAATTCCAAGTTTTTAGTTTCCTTCAATTTACGTTTTTATGTTAAAGAAAATCCTCTTTGGATTATGCTTCTGATTTCAGTTTAAAAGCATGTAACAACACCAACAACAACGTCTGTAATAATATTTTATGTTTTCTACATTAAAATGTTAAAAGCATGCAAAGTTGTTTATTTCATTCTGCTATTAACTGTGAAAAGAACGAAAGAACAGTGTAAACATGATAATTTTTTGCTGGTGTCTCAACTTTCGCAATGTCTTCTACGTATAGACGTACACATACGTATGAATGTACACAATGGCCTTGAAGCTTTCGTATCTGTAACCTTTCACATATTTTCAGTGCTTTCGATCTAGTCTGTTGCTGTCTCCACTCTACCACAATGACCGTTTTTGTCTGTTTGCGGCACCCGTTACTTCTATCGATTGTTAAATAGATTTTCCTTTATGAAAAACGGAAAGAGATTTATTCGGTTCGAACCGCGAATAGTTTCCCTGTGTACGCGTTATTTTGCTTTTGTTAGTGGTTCTGTTACAAACTTTTGTGCTTATTGGAAAGAGAATTAGCAGCCAATTCCATTCATAGAACGCAAAGTAAGTGAAGTTCTTTTTTTGTTTACTTATGGCAATACATGTACGTGTCTAATGTGTATTATACATATAGATTAAATTGTGGAGAAAGGGTGCGAAAGTTCCCGGAAAATTTTACTGGTCTATTGTTTTAGAAATAATTACTATTTTAGAAAGATACTTGTCATGTTCCACACATTTTATCGTTATTAGTTAATGAACAACTAAATTCTGGTACCTAAAACATTACTGGTACAGTTTAATCGTTTAGATAAGGACAAAGGGGGTTGTTTTCCTGCACTACCTGCTAATGTAAACTTGAAGTCGTTTAATGCTTATTATATAGGATGCTTCATAATTAAAGTTGAAGTTGTACCATGTTATATAATAATGGGGCATTGCAGACAGAAGTCAGACATACAGCCACATTAATTTTACACTTTACATGCGAGGGTAGCTAAATGATAAATTGTGGGTACAATTATTATTCCCACAACCGAAATACTACCTAAACTCTGAGCCATCTAAAGTGACGGCTTCAGTAATGAAACTTCTAGAAGATTTATAAGTCTATTTTGTCGAATGGCTAATATTTTGGGACAATGTTAAGGCACAAGAATCTTTATTGAGTTTATTTTTGCAGCTGAAATTCAACAAAATTGTTGTACTGCTTTCTCATCTCCCATATTTCGATAAAACATAGTAGTGGAATCCTTTCTAATGCACCCTTCTGAAAGTTATGGGTGTATGACAGAATATAAAACGTGTTACGTTTAACGGGTACTATAAAGCTGTAATTGCACTTTAGGCATGTGCAAAGGCGGTTTACTGTTGCCAGGTTTATTACATGAACCGCTACTTTAGTTGCTCAGAGTTTACCTAACCTTTTTTTTACTAATTTTTATTTGGTATTACAATGGTTGCAAAACACTTAACGAGAATAGTATCTTATTATGTGCCAAAGGAAAAAACAACAGTATACCATTTAGGGTGTAAATTGCCACCTCAGCCGAAGACGAGCGCGGAAAACTGTCGGGAGGGAGTGCTGTATTTTCTTCCCTAGGCTAGTATATGTCTCTTGCAATACTTCTTCCTCGAAAGTACGACTTGTCCTGATTTGAGAGATAGGAAAATATTTTACTATCTGCCGCGTGGAAATCGTTTCGTGTAGGATAGTAAAATCCTGTCCTATTAAAGCTTGATTTTCACTATCATCTAGATCACTGTAGGCAGCCGTCCGTCAGACGTCCGTCAAAATACTATTCAGTTTGATAAGCATTGTGTATTCTCTCCGTGTATAATAAATTGATGTGTCGGTGCCTGTTGATGCCTGTTGGTAACGGTTGTTGATGCCAATGATCTAATGAGAATGCAATCAGCTCGTTGGTAACCAGCAGAGGACTGTATTAAGGGAAATTATTAAATTAATATTTAGACATTCGGTAGCACTAAAAAACTTAAAGAATAATAAGGCTCCAGGTATAGATTGGATATAGGCGGAAATTTGGGTTCAGAAGAAATAGAGGAACGCGGGAGACCGTTATAGCTTTACGGGTAACAATAGAGAAAACGATAGAAAAAGGAACGAGTGCGTACATAGGATTTGTTCATTTAGAAAAGGCTTTTAATAATGCTAAATGGAACAAAATGTTACATATACAACTTAAAAATGTAGGGATGAGTTACAGAGATAAAGGAGTGATATTTAGTTTGTATAAAGAGCAACAGACAGTTATAGAGGTGAAGCTGCAACGTAGGGAAGTAAATATTAGAAAGGGAGTCAGACAGGGATGCGCACTGTCACCGCCATTTTTGTATCTCTACATCGAAGACGCGATCAACATCATTAAAGACAGTACAACTGTAGGGATAGATGTGCAAGGGCAAAAGATTAGTATGCTTAGATTTGCAGATGATATAGTAGTATTAGCATCTAGCAAGGAGGAGTTAGAGACAGCTTTAGTTAAGGATGTGGGTTGTTCTAGTTTTGGGGAAATGCGAAGATAGGATAGATTAGAATAGGAAAGAGTAGAGGTGTGTGTCCAATCAATTTTGAGACTGACGACCTTATGATGATGATGTTTCGACATTCTGAAGTGCTGGTGAAATTTGACATTGTCATATCAATAAACTTTTGTGTTTTTTGCTCTTTTTTTCCTTTTCATCTCTTTATCTTCTTTATCAAGTAAAAGAGCAATAACTGCTAAATCAGTAAGCTAACTGATATTATCAGGACGTCAACGAAAACATGCTCATTGTCTAAAATTTCCTGGAAAACTGATATCAGGCAAACATGTCGTTCTTTTGGTAGTGGTATGGTAAAAAGGTGTTTTTTGATCTTTAAAAATATAACTAACTAATAGTGTGTTATGTATCACTTAATCACTTATTACAACTAGGCATTAACTATGTAAGAAATAGGAATTTACTTAAATGTGGAATGAGGCACTCATTAGCTTATTTGATAAATAATTTATTTCTCTACCTATTTCTCTACTTTAGACTAAGACAATAATGTGTTTCATAATGTTCTATAAACAAATATAATTTGTGATAAAAAATTCAGATGCTAATGCCATCCCTATATATACATACAGGGCGTTAATTCATCGGAAAATTGACATCTTCGATTTTAGGATATTTTGTATAGAAATGAGTGGAAATTTTATAGCAAATTCAAAGCAATGTATATTACAGTTATATTGGGCTACTGTGATTACCATCGCCGTCAGCATATCATAGGATTGACAAAGAGCCTTATAAATAATTTTGGTACGAGCTTTTGATGTTTTTTATTCGATCCAATTAATAAAAAATTGTTAGACGGAATGATAACAATTTTTATTACGATATAGGTAGGTAGGTATATTAATTTTTTCCTTTAGTACCTATCTACAAGGTAAATATTTATTGATTGTTATCTAATGTCTACACGTGGAGTTATTGATTTGAAATTGTTGAATTTCAATTCTTTATAAGTACGTAAAAGATGTATTACGATTTCTTTTTTGTTAGAATCTTATAAAAATAGCATCTATTTATCAGTAATGAATTCGTAGGAGTAACAAGAAAAGAGGAGATAACAGCCAAAGAAGCAAAACAAGGCTAATTAAATAACATAATTTATAAATACTTGACTTATTATTATTATTAACAGGCACTGATTTTAATTTATTCTTATATTTAAATAAGATATTTGAGATAAGTCTGATGTTTACAGATTAGAATGTAAAAGTTATATAATAATTCTTTTTATATTGGACAAACTGGCCGTTCTTTAAAAAAAAAAGGGATCGATGAACATGTAAAAGCTATAGAAAAGGATAATAAATACCCAAGGACTACTGTATATAAGACAAGCTGCCTTTAAATTTAGATAATATTAAATTGTTACACCGGTTTTTTAAAAGTAAACCCTTAAACTTCCTGAAAATTTTAGAAATCATAAAGCCTCCGTGGGAAGTCACTCTTTTGTTAACAAAATAACAGATTTCTACGTATTTCCTTTACTGAAAGTCGTTACCGGTTCTAATTAACTACAGAGTATTTAAGTATCGAAAACTTTATTTACTACACCATTCAAAATGGATTAATCTCTACAATAATTGTTAAAGTTTGTAAATAAATTCCTTTTATGGAATTAACAGTGTTTTTTCTCTTATTCCATTTTGAGTGGGATGTTTTAGATACTTGGACTGTTGTTACACAATTTTATTTTAACTATTTTACCACAAAATATTCGTTTTCAAAGTCATTATTAGAGAGTTCCTGTTTAAATTTGTTACTGCAGTGCAAATTATTTTAAGAAAACCTACATGTGGACTCTACGTATTTAGTACTTTAAATGAAAATCGTACATTCCGTACTTTTCTTTTGGTTAGATTATTCTCGAGGAGGGAAAATCTTTAAAAGACACTTCCAGAGTGGAGATGGTGTCGGATATTTACCAACTCAAACCCCTCCTCGAGTGGGGAGATTAACCCAAAGGTTATAGATCTCCGGAAAAAAATAGAAAGGTTAGGAGTGGGAAGGATTGAATTGGGAAAAGAGTTGAGCTTAGGGAAGGGACGGGAGTGTTTGGGGGAGAAGACGCAGAAAACTGGTGGCCGATGTGATGGGCGGGCACTCGCGCCAAAGAGCGAAGAATTGCCATACCTATATACCAAATTTAAATGATCATAGTTGCGCAGAACACAAAACCGTTTCATTAAACTTATTGTCAACGATCGTGTTTTGAGAGTTAATCAAAATAGAAAATGTCATATTCAGATTATAGGAGAAAATGCGGGTTTGCGGTTCAGTAATAATTAAATGTCATATGACAGTTTTAAATGAAACGCTTATTTCGGTATAACTGTCGAAATAATTAACATGTCAAAAACTTTACATCCCCATTGTGGAAAATTGCTCGCTTCATAAATGGAACTGCGGTGGTAATGCTTGTTTTTGTGCTGTGATCAATAACAATCGAATGATTAATAGATGCGCATTCTGAAATTACAAATTCGATTATTTGAAACTTAATGACTATGTGCTTCACGTTGATGCTTGGCGAAGTTAATACGTTTTATGTGAATATTGATGCTATTTTTGAGCTGTTTTTATTGAACTGGACAATTTTCACATACAGGAAGTACTCAAACAAAGCGAGATCAGGTTGCTAGGTACGATAGGCATTTGATTACAAAACAAATTAAAACAATTGAACAGCAAATGACAACAGAGACCAGAGGCAGGAGGCTCAATTCGTGGGGAAACGGGGTAAGATTTAATGAGGCAAAATATGATTAAGGAATACCGTAGTGTGTGGTGTCTCGTCTCGGGCATATGCGCAGTACTGTGCAGGGGACAGGTGTCAAAATGGCTTTGCTCTAACACATCCACGGATATTCTCAATGCAACCATTTCAGAGAGAACATTTATTCGACAACCGTTTGAACCTTCACGTAGGAGAATTGTCCAATTTCTTTAAGTGAGTGTTTGTTTTGTACTTTTTTCCCTTTCTTGTTTACCACCAGCCATTA